TTGATTTGATTATAAATTGTTTAACTGTCATCAATTTATCATTTTCAAACAAATCTGTAGAGTGAGATTATGCTTCAGACTAGGGTACTATGGAAAAAAAATGATGTTTTAGGTTTGCTTAGTGTTAATATTATATGTTTTTAAAGTTATTCAAAATGGCAAACATAAAATAAAAAAGGCAAACAAATGGTATTCTGATGAACTAAATTAGTGTTGCTAGGAAATTTATAAAAAAAAAAAAACATTGATATATATCTAAAAGAATCACAATATTAATTAAGAGCGAAAAAAAAACTGAAATTAATATATCTTACTTCGCCATACATGTCCAAACGGTTTACTTTTAATCCAGAAATAGCCAGCTGATTGATTGTAAACTTTACCTGAAATAAAAAATAAATAAAGATAAAATACGATTTCTAAATTAAAAAGGAGTTGAGCATGACTTGCAAATTAACTAAATTCTTGAATAGTATTGTTAAACACTTATTGTTATCACAAAAAACAGTAATGGTATTTTTTACAAGATCGACAAATGTATACATAATAAATTTCCTATTTTACTACACAAATCAGGTAATCAGTTACTAAAAGATAACGAATATAAAGTTCAAATCAAACAAGTTTGTTTAGAAATAAGACAAACGTTTGTAACATTTTCAAAAGAGAAAGTTGATATCAGATATATTATATTTTATCAACTCACAGGCAGTTGGACTTTTTTTTAATAGATCTGTGATTCAGACGACCCCCTCCCAATCAGAAATTGTGGTATGAAAAATCATTTCCTGCCTATCTAAGTATAGATAGGCATGTGCTATCGACCAAAAATAAAAAAAATATTCTTTCTATGCACAGGACCATTTGTAGATAAAAAATGGAGTGAAAGTTTTACATGTGCACGGCCATTTGGCAGGATAATAAAATTTAAATGGATTATTTTAAGCTGTCATATATTTGCAATTTTTTTTTCCAGCAATGAGAAATAGCTTTGGCATTTATAGTTTCAGAAAAATACTATGTTAAAATTAGCATTCAAATTATATGCAACTAACAAACTATTGCTGCTATACAAACCAAGTTTATTAGCCTTCAATACTTGAATACTTATAAAAATTAACATGTTTTTGAAGTAATCGCTATTTTTCTTTCATTAAAAGGCAACAGTTTTAAAATTAAATTTAAATACGTGTATGTCTTTAATTATGAAAGAAAAAACAAACACGAATATGTGTTAGATTAATGAATCTAAGAATACCAAATGAACATTTATCTAAAGAGCATGGATTTGAATATGTAATGCAATAAAGTATGGAAAGAAAAAAAAAATCATTTCACTTCAAGCTCTGAACTGGATTGTATAATAATACAAGTGTAAATGAACTAATTGAGTGACAACAATGATATGAAATTGTGAAACAAATTTTTACATACAAATTATCTTATCCTGTGTTAGTCAATAGTATATTACTTAAAATATTTGCTGAGAGATGATGTCACTGGCACAGTAGTTGCTTATATAAGCAACTACTGTGGCAGTGTTGATCAACAAGTGTTGATATCAACATAATTTAAAACAAATGTAATGTAGTTTCTGTCAGTAGTATAGAATTATGATTAATGTGAAATATATACTTACGGTTATGGTGGGATTACTTTCAGGACTAGACATTCCACTTTGAAGAGAAATCTAAAAAGGAATTAAAAAATTACAATTAAGTAGTCTATAACTTTTCAAAATTTAAATAAATATTAGCACAGGTTAAATATGATATATTTGTTTAAAATATTAATGGGAAAATTTCCATACAACAATAATTTTTGTCATTCACATAAGTCTACAATTTAAAATTCGGATTGTGATGAAATTATTTCAACGTTGTTTAAAACATGGAGAAAAATACTGTCATTAATAGAAAATCATACTCCATTGCATGGAATAAAAAAAAATTATGCTCTTTTAAAACAAAGTATTTTGTTATAAGTGTACTAAAAAGGTGAAATAATTTTTGAATAAAATATCCTGAGATGAAAACATAAATGCTTGTTTTATGTTGCCGAATATAAATTATTCATATATTTTTTTAAGCAAAAATGGTGGCACAAAGTCTTTTTTTTTTTTCTTGCAGAGTTTTTTTAATTAAATGCACATGAGCAAATATTACTTAAAACATTAAAAAATCGTAACATTGATTCTATATCATGAAAAATTGAACTTATGTTGTAACTTTTCTTTATGAGTAAAAATACCTGTAAAATTACTTAAAAGCAAAAACACACTAAATTATTTTAAATCCTAATTTTTTTAATCGTTTACATTACCCTACAAGAACACGATTAAAATAGTTTATTTAAAAACAATCTTTGAAATTATAACACAATTTCAAATTGTAAACTTCATGATGTTTCTAAAACACTGTTAAAAAAGCTTCAGTCCTCAGAAAATCTTTCTTCTTTAAGGCTAAAACTTTATATATATATATATATATATTATTTAAAAGACATGTCAAGCTTCAAACATTGTATTTATTGTTTCAAAATTAAATTTTGCAAGAAATGCATTGCCGATTAATAATTTCTTTTCATCTGACATTATAAATTTGTTACTTTATTGACTTATGTTAATTAGCTAATTAATAACAACAGAGCAGTCACATTGTAGGACAACAGAAGATTAATACCGACAGACTGGAGATTAATTAACAAAGGTTGCTTAATCTAACACAATCAAATAATTAATCTCTTTCAGCTGCGTTGAATATTCATAATTAAACTATTGTCTATAACTAGCAACTCTTTTAGATATGTTTTCTCACACTTTACGAGTTAAAAAGGAAATTATAAGAGGTAATATTTTCTAAATTGCAATAATGAGTGTTTTAAAAATAGGTATCGTTAAAATACTGCCAAAATAATTGTAAATGTAGCAATTTTCTATAATTGCAATTTATCAAAGTAAAGAAAGACTGTTTTTATAATCATACCTTCCTTTTGACATTTCAGCAATATAGTTCCTCGTTTTTAAATATTCAAATAATCTAGATCAGTGGTATCGCAGAGCGCATGGAAGGGGCACCTAGGATTAGGACTTTTTTCAAAACAGTAATGAATTTTGAAATTCGTAATTACATTAATAGGCAATCAAAAAATCATTATTTATATAATATTTTGATTATTTTTATGAAATGAAAATAAAATGACAGAAAAGCACGAAATCGAAATAATTTAAAAAGAAGTAGATTATATCGAATAATTATGACATTATAAAAATGAATATTATAAAAATCTGCATTAGTAAAGCTCATCGAACTTTTCAGTTCAAAATAAAACAATTAAGGTCAGCAGTAAAGGAATATGCTTCCCTGATAATCATTCTATAACCATTTTTAACAATTCTTTTTCGTTCTAAAAACTTATTTGAAAGCTTAACTTTAAAAACTTGAATGACAAAATATTTAATTTAAGAATGATAAAACGTTGGAAAAAAATTGGAATTATATTAAATATTTTCAAAATAGTTAGTTGTTATTCTATAATTGATTTGTTCCGTATGAACATCGGGGTTCCACTGAAGGAAGATAGACTCTTTAGAATTCCATATCCGAAAAAAAATTAAAAGCCAATAAGATATCTTGTAATAATGATGAATAGATAATAGCAGTATATTTTGAAAGCTTTTTTTGAATATTTGTCTATCTAGATATTGTTCATGGTTACTGACATTTATAATTAATAGCAGAATATATATGTCTAAAATTTTATACTTATTGCAGAAATATGGGTAGAGGATTTAATGATATCGTAATTTGATGTCTGAAAATTAAGATAAAATAAAAACATTAAAAATCATAAATTTTTAATATCAGTAACTATAAAATCCGCTTTATACTACTTTTTATTGCAAATAAGTAAAAAAGTTCTCACATCCGGAAAAAGAATTGCTATTATATACACTTTCAAACTTTCTCATGTAAATAAAAAAAAAATCGGATCTCGATAGATTGCGCTAAAATGAGTGCAACACGTGTGCCAAAAATAAGGGCAATGTGACATTTGAACTATATCGCTTATAAATATTTATGCAGTCTAGATATATTGATAAATATAAGTATAAAACAAAATATTTAGTTTGAATATTTGTCTTACCAAAAAAAATCTGTACGTAGTTGACTTCAAGCAGCAACTTCGTTAAATGATACACAAAGGTATCATCCATTCATTTATGTCTAGCAAAGTCGTAACTTGGAATTTTACTACAAATAATGCAATATTCCTTCAAACACAAACTTGCCATCAATTTTCTTATTGAATTTATGGTAATGTAACATAACATTATGAACAAAAGAATATTAATTTTCAGGAACGCCGGAAGCCTCATTGTTTTAAGGCTAAAACGCTGCCTTCCGCACTTATTTTACCAATTCTTACCTAACTTTTATTTTCCGTGAAACTTTTTATATTTTTGTGAGGAAGAGGTCCTCTTGATTTGTTGGCACTTTCCATAAATCCTTGAAACGGCATTTTCATTGAAAACAATGCGGTTTTATTGACTTTTGATGGCAAACCCTTGTAAAAAGGTTATTTTTATTTCGTCAAAGAGGAAACTACAATGGCAGATTGGTTTTCCAGTTAGGTGTTCTGTTGGCGTCTTAGAAGCAATTTGTAATCTGAGTCGTGATCTTCTGTGGATGTTGCTTTCAGCATCATATGTAAAAGCGTTATTGTTATTCCTTTATTACGTATCTACAAGAAATATTCAAATTTAAAACGGAATTTATCTCTTAAGTGTGATTTAATATATAAGGTTTTTAAAATTAAGTCATTTTATAACCTATATTTTATATTTAAAACCGTCGTTGAACAGCCGACCCAATTTACGACTACTAACACTTTTTTAAGGACTTTTTGATGGACTGCGGTCTATGCTAGCCGGAAGCGAAATTCGTATCAACCAGTCTTTTGCTGGGATTCGAATCCTGTTCATCTCATTGGAAGGCGAACGCTCTATCCCCTGAGACATCACGGCTCTATAACCTATATTAAATAAATATATCATAGTTAGGACTGGGCGATATAAGAAATTTTATATCGTGATGCATCGTCAGTTTTACATCGCGATATAGCGATGTATCGCGATATAGTATTTTTGAAGTTTATTTACTTGTAAGGCGCAGAAAGTCGGATTTCTATCAAAACTTCATACTCAGATTGATTTAAAGCAATTTATGAATTTGATGTATATGTTTTGCTTAAGAAAGATATATTTTCTAAAAATGATCGTGCAAATAACGAAAGATTTCTTAGTTTAAAAATAAATAATAAAAAAATAAATAAGTTGAAATTTATCAATATATTAACCTAACAATATAGAAAGAAAATTTAAAAAATAAGTTCGCTTAAAATTATTTGCGTGCTTAAAACAAAGTGCTAAATGAATTAAACAAAAAAAAAAAAACACTTTTAAAACAACACTATTTTTTATCATTATTATTTTACATAAATAATAAATTTAAATTGAATAATTACCGAATTCTGAACGAAAAAACAAAGTAAGGTTTAATTTCTTAAAAATAAAAACAAAAGAATTTTGTTATTCGATAATATATTCAACTGACAATATTGAAAGAAAATTAAAAAACAGGATTATACTCTTTAATAAAACGAAGTGTTAAATGATTTTAAAAAAAGAAGTCGCAATCACAAACATTACTAATTTTTTTGAATAAACAAAGTTGATTGACTTATGTCCAAATCCAAAAGAGGAAAAATAAGTTTTGTTATAGTTTTATTTATAAAAATGAAAACAACTAAAGATTTATAAATTTAAAATCAGTAATAAAAACCCATTAAATTATTATTTTATCCAAAAAGTTTTTAATAAATTAAAATAAAGTAGAAAATAGCCTAACAAATTTAAATACTTTTTAATGTAATTCTTTATGGGCACCTTAAATTAGATTTCTGTTTGTAATAAATTCAATAATGTAAAATAATACTTAAACATATAATATCCAAATTAATTTTCACATTTAAAAATAAAAAAGAAAGTTTTGTTTCAAAAAAGAATTTACCTAATTAATTAAGTTCAGAACAAGGTAATGACGGCGATCACAAGGTCAGTCCCACTGAAAATAATCTACAAGAAACGATATCAAGTCGCGACAAAGAAGGAAAAAAAAATAAGAGGAGCGGAAACGAACATGCGAGATCACGATATATGTTCTCAAAACTGATTCTGATTCTACCGCTCATCAATCTAGGCCGTTTCAATATAACGATACGAACATCGTCTTCCCCAGCGCGAGTTGGCATCGGAACGTAAGAGATCCTTGCGTGTCTTGTATCGCTATATCGCTATATCCGTTTGTCTTCTTTACTCGACGGCTTAAATCAGATTTCTGATGCATCGCCTGGAACGAAAGTTGCTGTATCGGCCTGTCGATACAGGCGTTAAATCGATATGTCGCGATATATCGATTTATAGCCCAGTCTTAGTCATAGTACTTAAAATTTTTATTTTGTAAATTTCTGACCACTGACTATGGTTGATCTCGAATAATGCCATTTTGCCAAATGATATTAAAAAACATTTAATCTTTATTTTGATGGGATTACCTTCAAAAAACGTGTTTTGCTTAATCTAATAACATAAAGACACCAGGAATAGCAATAAATAAAAATAAATAAATTGAAAATGTTTTAGCTTAATGAATTGTGTCGGTACACGTTTCATGTACAATATCACCCATAACTCGCTAAATTTATTTATTAGTATGATAGAGAATATTTCAATCCGTTAACTATAGTATGTGAATTTTTATTTCATTTATATATTGAATATTTTAAATAAACTATGCATTTAAAATATTCAATATATATATAAGATCAATACATATGACCTTTCAAGCAAACCTGCTAAATTTGTTTGAAAAGTAAAGATATTTTACTAGTAGATCTTGTGTGAGAAGCAGAGTTGGTTTCTGCTTCATATGATACCGTAGCGTACAAAGAAGTGCAACGATTCCAAATATCCAGCTAAAAGGAGCATTCAGGTAACGATTGCGCACATTAAAACCTGAAGTCCATTGATATTTATTTTATTGTGAAATAAAAATTTTTACACATAAATATTTGGCGTTGTATCGGTTGCTAAAACAAAGCGAAATTTAGTAATGTTTTTTAAGACAATTTTGTTAACAAAAGTTGCTAATTTCATTCATTATCCATCAAAGTTACCATAGAGAATAGTTTATTTGTTTTCTTGTTAATGCTAACATATGTTGTTTTAAACATTTTAATAAAAAATTCTCCCCCGCTCTCCAAGATACCGGACGAACATGTAAGAGACAAAAATTAAATCCCCTGTCACCCAAATACGAATTTATTATACTTATATATTGTTTTGATTTTTGGCTGTACGATTTTAAACCTCGAAAAGATTCTACTAATTTAAAAAGGCGGGCCAGCTGGTCATAAGTATTAATTTTCTTCTTAGATATTTTAAGGGACATATAAAGTTCCAAAAATACTTAATTACAGCATTAAAAATGCCGCCATTATTTGACTTTAAAATTTTTTTGTTGCCAATATTTGACAGAAATTATTTATACAAGGCTTAAAATTGCGAGTTTGGCAAGCTTAGCAGCAGGAAATAGTCGTACAAAGAGTCAAATAAAAAAAACGGAACTGTTAAATAACTTAGAATTTAATAGTCAAATTTTCATGCACCAAGTGCAAATTAATCATTCGAGGCGCTGACCTTAAATATGATGGGAATTATTAGTGCCCGCAATCAAACAGAAAAATATAACTTCTCCGTATGATCAAATAACTTTTTTTCGACCCTGTATTAAAGATGGCTTTTGTAAATCACAATAATCAATTAAATTAAACTTCTTTAGAAGCGAAAAATGCTTAAAATAAATTATCGTATTTGGCAAAAGCAGTTCAAATTTGTTCTCTATAGTTCTGGGCTGTAATGTGGGACGATTAAGTTTTAAAGACCGTATTTATTCAGTGTTTCATAAATATTGCTACGCTAGCGGCTAAAGAAAAAAATGGTGTTTTTATACATTTTTACGTTAGGTATTGTTATTCAATTTAATAATAAAACAGTGGTGCCACTGCCTAAAACCTTCCAAAAGAAAAGAAAAAAAAAAGAAAACCCTCATTGAAATGTGATCATATGCGAAATAATAATTTTGAACAATAGCGTTTGATATTTTACTTTGAAATCGCATTTTAACAAATAACAGATAAATCACGGAAGGAATAGAAAAAACATAATTAACTACCTGTAAAACTTAGTCATATTTCCGTTTCTTTCTTATTTAGTATTTATTCATCAATCTTAAGCAAAAAATTCAAATGTTAAAAAATTTCTAGAAATTGCATAAGAAAATGAGAAAAGATTAGCGTCTTTTTTTTTTTTTTTATCAAGATGTCGAAAAATTCTTCACGATAGCGTCTGAAACACCTAGCTATTATTTTACTGACACATTTTGGAAGTTTAATTTATTCATCTTTAAAAAATTAAGAAAACTAAAGAAATGTGTTGCATTGTTTAATTTACTAAATAAAACCATTATGAAAGCATAATTAAATAATCAGCTTTAGAAGGAAGATAAACTTGAAAATAAATTTGGCCTTTATATAAATTGGTCGAAAAATTGATCGCTGAATTTTATAATTTAAGGTTATATTTGCCTACAGTTATTCTGGCATATTTTTGACCTTTGCCTTCGTTTTTTTTACCTTTTCATAAAATGTGCATAAAAATTAACGTAAATATTTTCAGAGATATTGCGAAACATTATGAGGTAAAATTAATATAATGAGCCCAACCTTGGGCCATTCTTCCGTTGTTTATCACGCAATATCAGGGGAAAAAATTATTTTTTACTATTTGTGCCAATAGATCAAGCGGTAGCAAGATGCATTATATCATGCTGCTGTTTTTGCAGAAAATATGTTTTCTCACGAAAATAACGTATAGCTTATTAAAATAAACTCATTGTAAAATTTAAAAACTAAAACTGTAGCCAATATAAGAAAATTTAACTTCGTTTTCATCTTTATAGATTAACACTTTTCAATGGTAGATACGGTATAATCATTTGAAGCGAAACGGGTGGCAACAAAAGTTTTAAGCAATTTCTATCATATGTTTTCAGATTGCGGCTACTTACCACATTTTGAAGTTAAGCAATCCGGAATCTGTAGAAAATATATTCAGAGAAAGTATGATTTTTAATTTTAAAATATCACTTATGCTACTTAGT